AACCGATGCCAACCTCACCCTGTGAATAATCAGCTCATCTCTCCCGTAGGTCCACCTCTCAAGAGTCCTTCCATCATGATCGAACATCAACTATACCTCATTTTTTTTAATTATTAGAGCAAAATCTATAGCCTACACAGTCATGCGTGCACGGCTAGCTGCTAAAATCCAGAGGTCACGACTTCGTATCATGAATAATGTACATGTACGCAGAGTCAGTTTGTGGACTACCCGTCACTATCTCGTCCACCCCGGGCCGCGGGATACTTGATTCACTCGCATCTTTTGCCACATGACATTGTACTGTATCAGTGTGAGAAAGAACTTTGAAGAAGACGAGTTCGAGCATACAAATGAATATTGATTGTATTGCCATGATTTCTACCTTGCTTTTCACTGAAAACACTATCTGCATGACCTCCGAACCCCTTACCATGGAGCTCACCAGCACTGATCAGGTGCATTGTACACTATTATTGTGTAGCCTACACACTAGAACTGTGCTACAATCATGTGGTTATGCTCCTACTTCCGAAAGGATGCCAAATTATGCTCCAAAGTATCAACCACCAAATTATGCCAATAATTATGCCGGCACAATCCGCGGGTGCCTATCCCTGGCACTTTGTCGGCTCGAACTGATCGGCGCTCTTTGAATTTGTGTGTCAACACTGTTGAGTTGTTCGATGTTAAATAAATACTACTACTACACTGACCAAGTACGAAGTCAATATTAGATTTATCACGCCAAACAGTCCGTATTTCAAATTCCAGAACGATAATAATAACCTCGTGAATTCCGGTTTTATGATTGCACAACCGTTGCACCATCACCTACTCATACAGTGACCATGCTGCACTAGGCACCGTTCAACTGCGCAACCCATAAGCATGCAGTCAAATATAAGCAGTCAATATAGCCCTAAGGAGTGAAATATGCAGAAATATTGGACTGCCTGTAGATCTACATGTAGTGAAAATCAATGGGAGTCAATACTAAGAAAGTAAGAGAGTGATCAATTGTATTATAATGTAGCACACAGTCACACACTACACAAACAAAGCACCTATGACTATGTGCAGCCTGTACTAAAGGCTGTAGGAATCTTTCTCGCGCGCGCGTGCTCAACTGCTCGTGCAGGGCGCCCGGCGGCCCGGCCGGCCGCATGTAAACTTGACTCACGCGATCAGATTTTACTTTGTGGTTCTTCTCGCGCATGCGCATGGTATCATGGTTATGCGCGCTACATGTACACACCACCAGACTACTATCGACTATCGTCACCAGAAAAAAAACCTGTCAATGCTGAAGAGACAGTGATAATCATGGCACGTACACTGTAGTGGACTAGCATGTGCAGCATTGGCCTGATTTGTTTTAGCAACGATAGTCATGTACAGACAGTAGATCTACATCAGGGAGTCAGTAAAAGAACAACAGTGGTGGTAGATGTAAGGGTGTACGTTGCAGCTACGTACATCTACTGGTCCTTTATAAATTTACTGCACTTCTAGTTCTCAGCCAGGAATTCGTGAAAGCAAAGCGTGACTCCTTGATTCAGACTGTCCGAAAATTGAGGTCTTTCACGCCAGGCGTGCACGATAATGTCCTCCGTGGTGCGGTGCGGTGGTTGTGGGTCGTCCACGACCGCTCTGAAGTTTGTTTCGTGTTTGCACGCACTGTGTGTACCGTGCCTGCAGAACAGCTTGGGATATGATGGCTGCATAAAATGTCCGCGATGCTTGTCCGCTACGCAATTGCCTGTTAGCCTGGATCCAATGCGATCGCTACCGAACGTCGTTCAAGCAAGCGATACTGAGTTGACTGGAGCGGCTGCAGGCCGGGATCATGTCATTCAAACCTGTGACGAGTGCTGGGATGGGAAGCCAGCTACAGCGGTTTGTGAGAACTGCAACGGCAAATTCTGTGAGTGCCACGGTAATGGCCATCTAATGTCTAGATCAGGTAAAGGCCACACGATCAAGAGGCTGTCTGCGTCCAGCATCGAGTCAGCAATCAGCAGTGGCAGAGTGGTTCAGCATAGATGCGCTCTACACACGACTGAAGTGCTGAAACAGTTTTGCTTGGATTGCAATCAGCTACTGTGTCCACAGTGTGTACGTACTGGAGCACACAGACATGCTGAACACAAGGTGATGGATATTGCCAGTGCTGCACAAAGCGCTCGTGACACGCTTTCCGGTAAGCTGAGCAGTTGCACATCAGAATGTGATGGTGTTGTCAGCAGTGCCATAGAGACCGTGGAGAAGAACATGCGAATGGTACACAGTCAAACAGAGCTCGCTTCGGGGAAGGTTTCTGATTTCTTCAAGCCACTGGCGGAGGCTGTGAAGAAACGGGAGGACTCTCTTCTAACTGAGCTGGATGAGCTGAGGTTGAGGAAGCTGGAACCTCTGGAGAAGCAACTACACCAGCTTCAAGAATGTGTGTCGAAAGGAGCGAGTGCTGCCAGCATTCTGCACTCATTCCAGGATGACATTGAGCTTCTCCATGTGTGGTCCTGGGTGGATGCGTCTATCACGCAGGCGATGAAAACTGCTGAGGTCGAGAAAGAGCCCTGTGTCACCAGTGGCATCGTTTTCGGCACGACAGACACCACATCACTACTCAATGACATCAGCAAAACGGGAGCAGTGCTGGATGTTGCTGATGGTACATTGAAGTGCCCTGGCCAAGCCTATGTCAGTGATCATTTCAGCACGTCCATAGAGCTACCCGACAGTATTGTCGCAAGCAATGTGGAGCAAGAACAACTGGCCAATATTGGACTGGAGATATTAATATCCAGTCTTGACGAGGACACAACCAACGTGTGTACGCCGCCGCTTACACCTGTCTCTGGACGTATACAGGCTGAACATATTCCGTTACAAGCTGGTTGCTACAACGTCTCAGCCAAGATCGGCTGTGTCCCCCTGAAGGGTAGTCCACAGAAGCTGGTGGTGTCAGCGACTCCACGTTTTCATGGAAATCGCTGTGCCAGTGCCTTGAGTATCACCAATGATGGTCGCTCACTGAGTTGCACTAGTGGTGGTTGGTCATCAGCATGTACCACACCCATGGCCACTGGTACTGGTAGCAGTACACTGAAGGTGAGGATTGACAATACCAGAGATGGTGAAATCCTTCTCTCTGCCTGTTCATCCAGTAATCCAAACCTGACAGGCACCTACCAACAAGACAAGGCACAGTGTTTTGGTTGGTATGGCTATAGTGCTCATGCCTACCACACTGGCACAGCCCTTGGTCAGCCCTGGCAAACTGGTGACGTCATTCACCTCACCGTTGATCATGATCGTCACACTCTCACTGGTAGACATGAGAGAACGGGCGCCACAGAAACCATCCCGAACGTCACAGGTAACCTGTACTGGATTGCTACACTCGTGAACGCGGCTGACAAAATCACTCTGGTGTAGGAGAACGGGTGGTGAACACTTCAGATTGCCTTGGCTATAATTATGATCAGGCAGTGTTTTGACTTCCTATACGTGTGTTTCCCAGTTATTTGATCTGTTATGTAATACATCGATGAGTGCACTACAGTACTACTCAAAGTAACAGGTATTATGTATAGGCTAGTACCCCTCCACTCCTGCTTTTTGCATAATTACAGTATATCTATTCCGGGTGGTAATTTCCCTACCAGTTTTCATCAGTGTATTACTGCATAGATTGTACTGGCTGGTTATTTTCCTACCAATTGTCATCTGTGTCCTAACTGCGTAGATTTCTGTCATTCTTGGGGAAGACTCCAGCTGAGTCTCACTCGAACCGTGAATTTGTTGTTGTTGTGGCAGGCAGGGTGATTTTGAGCATGTGGTGTGGCAAATGCACATCTGATGTTGCAAGTATACGTTATCCGACCTGCATGGAGCTTCTCACTGTTCATGCCAAGTGTGTGTCCAGTAAGGGTGACAAGTTGGACTGATTTGAAATTGCTTCCCATGAGAACGTATACTGTTCTCTTACCGGTTAGACTTAGTAGCGAGTCGTAGCCTGACACACTCCTATCCAACAACAGGAGTTCTCTCCCTCTCCCTCTCCCTCTCTCTCTCTCTCTCTCTCTCTCTCTCTCTCTCTCTCTCTCTCTCTCTCTCTCTCTCTCTCTCTCTCTCTCTCTCTCTCTCTCTCTCTCTCTCTCTCTCTCTCTCTCTCTCTCTCTTTCTCTCGCTTTCTCTCGCTCTCTCTCATTTCTCTCTCTCTCTCTGTCTCTCTCTCTCTCTCTCTCTCTCTCTGTGTCTCTCTCTCTCTCTCTCTCTCTCTCTCTCTCTCTCTCTCTCTCTCTCTCTCTCTCTCTCTTTCTCTCTCTCTCTCTTTCTCGCTGTCTCTCTCTCGTTGTCTCTCGCTGTCTCTCTCTGTCTCTCCCGCTCGCTGTCTCTCTCTCTCTCTCTCGCTCTTGCGGCAAGTGGGGCAGTAGACGAGGGCCAATAGCCGTGCCCAGTCCACCGTGTCCCGTGTGGTCTGTGGGTAATGAAAGGAACACCGTGCTACATCACCGAAGAACAGACACTAGGTGCATTCGTCAATAATCATTTTAACGTTAGTTTTCTAAAACAGCACAAACATGAACCGAGCAAGTTTCACAATAAACTAGACGAAAAGAACGAAGAGTCCAAGTAGCGACTCTCCAAAACTCACGAGTAGGTAATGCTTGAGGGATGAAAGACGGTGAAAGAGGGGAGAGAAATTGAAGGGCTTATCAGCACCCAGACTATGAAAATTACTACAAGAGGGATGTAATAATGGATGCTAATGTCCAGACATAGAGAAGAGACAGGATAATCTACACCAGGCAGGTGATATAAATAAATAGAGATATCGAGAAGATTGCAACGGAATTTGGAGGCGAAACAAAATTCTAGAACTAGTCTAGTTCGCATGCATCCACACAATCAACGTATCTGAAGTGCCTTCTGGACTGGATGTATTAATTGCGCGGATGAATGCAAACTTGACTTGTTCTAGGATAAAAATTATAGAGAAGAGACAGTGTAATGTGTCAATGAAACCATGCAGTGCACAACAGGTACACACACATCCAAGATAACACTATTAGTATTACTACATGCACGGACTGTCTGAAGGAGTTCTTGCTGAAAACACTGTAGGCGGCAGAGTGGTGGGGAGCTGCAACTGGACGTGGCCGCGGACTACGCCCAGCGTCACCTGCTCCATCTTTAGCCGGCTGAGCCACCTTGCTGCAATCCTCTACTGGTATGCAGTTTGGGCTCGGCCTTGCAGTTGTGTCCACTGGGCACTGTGCAGCGGATGATTGTATGCCGAACAACGCTGCTAATTCCGCCAGGCTGGGCTGAGGTAATGGGTCAGGGATAGAAACATTTGGAGGTACTGCTGGCGGCACTTGACTCTTGGCACATTGACCAGGAATATCTCTGCACACCTGTAGCAAACAGTACAGTTGAGAGGCACAGCAATACCTATGTCAGTGTTTGTATAATAGGACCGTGATGTAGTACAACGATGACTGCATGTACCAGGTATTACCATCCTCACGTTGCCACTTCTCCTACAGCACTGTCGAACGCCGAAGAACAGAATGCTGAAGAAGAAATAGGCTACTATTTCACCCAACACAGCACGCTGATATACACCCGGTGACTCAACTGTGCATACACTATATTGTACACTGTAGTACATAAAATTTAACAAGTGCGGCCTGCGCTACAAGGCTGCTCTCCCCCCCCCCCCCCCCCCGTTCTCCTCCGCCTGACAGTACACTGACCCTCCGCGTCGTTGCACATCGTACTGCACTTGACAGCCTTGATCTAATTCCCGCCCCTGCCGAAAACCCAGCTGGGAAGTGACACAGCGTGGGGGCGGATCAGCAGTACTTTACGGTATGCACACCGTGTCATTACTATCATCTCGCTCTCGAGGAGTGCAGATTCAGGAAGGTGTCATATTTGCATCCAAGCACTTCAGAACTGCCTACGCACGGGTGACCGTCGAGGCAGCTGATGAGAACACAGTCGGTGACAAAGGGTTCTGGCCGGATGCTCTTTCGCACACGGTTAGGCCCTGGCGTTTTGCCGCGGACAGTTTTGACACCAGCAATGCCAACCAGGCAAACAACGTCCTCTCCTCAGGCTCAGCATGATGGCGCGACCACAGCTGAATCCACTGGCTCGGCCCTACTTCCCCCCTTGCCAGGGTAAACTGACCTTGCTTTCCGTAAATTGCCGCTCAATCGTTAACAAATCTGCCGAACTGTCTGTCATTGCTGATTTCAACAAACCTGATGTCATCTGTCTAAATGAAACATGGCTAAATCCAAGCATAGCGCTCACCATCTCCGGTTATACCACATTTCGTCGCGACCGACCACCTCATGATAACAAATCCGGTACGGCAACCAGAGGATATGGTGGAGTTGCGATTCTTGTCCGGAAAAATCGCTTCGGAAGAGTCCAAGTTCGCGACGACCTTGCTCGTCCGACCTGTGAATCCGTATGGGTTGAGCTTCACCCAATCTTAGGCTCCCCGACACCCATCCTCGTCTGCTGTACCTACCGTCCGCCCTCAGTCAAAACCACGGAAATAGACCACTTCTGTGATATGCTAGCTAGTGCTTTGGTAACCGTTCCCATGTCATCGTACCATGTCATAATGGCTGGGGACTTCAACAGTAAGCACAAACGGTGGTGCCCATCGGATTTAACGTGTCCTGCTGGGGCGGCACTTTTTCGCACCCTTACCTGCTTCGGTTTGGATCAGCTGGTGCAGAGTCCAACGCACACAACATCTTCCGGAACACAGTCATGTCTAGACCTTGTCTTCACGAACCAACCCCTGCTGGCGACGGACGTTCACACAGCTTGCGCTCTTGGCTCCTCGGACCATCTCATGGTTTCATGCCAGTTCGCCGTCTCATTGCCCTCGGATCCAGACCTGCCACTTCCTTCTCGCAAACCGTTCCCATATCGCTTCCGTCGAGTTCCCTCTCAGTGCTGGGACTCTATGAACGCTGATTTCTCCTGCCACGACTGGTCGTTTCTGCAACCAGAAGGCTCTCCAACTGTTGACGCCGCGGTAGATCACTTTGCAGCCGTCCTTGAACGAGGGTTCCAACAGCACCTCTCTAACTTTGCTATCGGCTACAACAACCGGAAACATTCCAACCCAACATCCTCGACATCTAGTCCCCCATGGGTGACACGGTCCCTCGTATCTGAAGTGAAGCGCAAGCGTGATCTTTTCAGCATCTACAAGAAATTCCCAACGCCGGTTAACCGGGAGGCTTACCGAGTTCAACGCAACTTCGTCAAGCACCTTTCTCGTACCTCACACCGCTCCTTTCTAAACTCTCTTTCTGCAACACTCTCCTCCCCCGATCGCCCATCACTCCACCAATTCATTCGCAACCAGTGCCGCGGGACCTCCCGCGCGCCAATCCAGTACCTGACGGACTCCCATGGCAACCGCCAGCACGATGTGAAGGCGATTGCAGACACACTGAACAAGCAGTTTGTTTCATCCGGCATTCCGGAAGATCCGAATTGGGTCATTCCATCGCTGTCCCCAGCCCCTGAACTTAGCGCACCACTCACACGCGTCGTTACCACGACTGCTACCGTCTGTAAGCACCTCAAACTCCTGAAGAATTGTAAGTCCCCTGGCGAAGATGGCATACCCAATGAGGTTCTCAAATGGCTTGCGCCATCTCTGTCCTATCCCTTGTGCCTGCTCTTTAACATGTCATATCGTACAGGAGTATTTCCGTCCGTCTGGAAATCTGCTGTTATCGTCCCGATCTATAAGAAAGGCCAACGCTCTCAGGCTGGCAACTACAGACCAATCTCTCTCCTTCCCGCTGTGTCCAAGGTCTGTGAACGTATTTTCTTTGAGTCTCTGTACTGCCACGTCACCCCAGCGCTTTCACCATCTCAATCCGGTTTCTGCCGTGGAGACTCCACAACTTTCCAACTAACACGTCTAGTACAAGACATCTACACCCAGCGGAACCTCAGGCGGCATGTTGGCATCGTGTTCTTTGACCTAGCGAAAGCTTTCGACACCGTCTGGCATCGTGGTCTGCTTGCAAAGCTAGAGTCCGTCTTCTTGGTACACGGTCCAGCCCTGCAATGGCTCTCATCCTATCTTTCCTGCCGCCACCAGACTGTCAGAGTATCTACCTCCCTATCAGACCCATTACTAGTCGTGTCTGGGGTACCCCAGGGGTCCATACTTGGGCCGCTCCTATTTCTACTGTACGTTAATGACTTGCCAGCCCTTGTACCAAATGTAAGTCTTTTTGCTGACGACACTGCTCTGATGTGCTCCGACAGCTCGGCAGACAACCTCACGGCCTCCATGCAGTCCGGGGTCAACGCTACAGTAACATGGATGGAAACCTGGAAACTGAAGCCTAACCTCGCCAAAACCGAGGCCATGTTCTTCTCTCCCTCGCCCCCCACTCAACTTCTGTATTTTCCTGGTCTAAATAGTACACCTATTAAAGTTGTTAACGAGCACAAGCACCTGGGCGTTATTCTCGACCGCCAACTCTCCTGGTCTCCACAAGTCCAGTCTGTGTGCAAGCGTGCGAGTGCGTCCTTAGGTATGCTACAACCCCACTGCCAACACTTGAATGATAACTGCAGAAAATTGTTCTTTAAGTCGTACATTTTGCCTATATTTGACTATTGCGATATAGCTTGGTGCGGGTTGTCTCAGACTTTACTCCACAGACTGGAGGTACATCAACGCTTGCTTCTGAAAATTCTGTTTCGAAAAGACCAAACATTTGCCTCCCTTTGTCTTTATAAACTTGCTTCCACGCACCCTCTTCTTGCCCGACATCAGCAGCATCTTTGTATCCTTGTGCAAAAAATCTTCCTAGCCCAAGTCCCGAAACATATTGCCAAGTACAACTGGTTTGTTACCACTAGACCAACACGCAATGCCTTATCACTGCCCCGAGCTAGTTCCTCTCTGTTTTTGAAATCCCCTTTCTTCTCAGCATACTCCCTTTGGTCTAACCTGCCTACTAGCATTAAGACATGCCAGGATATCAGGAAATTCACAGTCCAGCTTTCCACACTGTCTCATCCGAAGTGATCCCATGTATTATTAATGTGCCTCCCTTTCTTTTTCTCTCCCTATCTCCTTTCCCTCTCTGACAGCATCTTTCTTTTTTTCCCTTTTAGCTTGCCGTGGTTGGCTATCACCTGACCTCTCATGTTTATTGGCAGTCTTCGGACGGGCCAGGAGATGTCGAATAAATAAATAAATAAATAAATCATGAATATCAGTAGTACCTGTTTTTCTCATCAACCACCACACCATAACCGCGCTCTACAGTGAATGAAAAATCTGTAAAGCGTCGAATGCTGCTGCTTACCTATAACACTTATTTGATCAGTATAATCTTCTTAGCAACTATCCCTGGTAGCTGGTTCTAGACTAGGCAATGACAGTTGATGCCCTTTAATTCAAACGTTTCCCTTTCATTCCCCAAACCTGACGAATACTTCCTATTATATTTACAGACAGAGATTGCGGTGGTGAAGAGTGACTAAGTCCATAGTATCTGTCCGTGAATTCAAACGCATGCTGCGCGTATTTTACTTCGGTTAAATGTAATGGCTTTTGTAACCTGCTGATGAGGCTCGATAGAATCATGCTACGATGACCCGACTTGTAAATTTGAGATCCATTTTTTTCTGCTCGTCTTGACCCTGCCTCCCCTCATTGCTACTTCCATTTTCGTATTTCTATTTTCATTTATTTTTCTCTTCATTTCTGACTCCTCTTATTGGTTGTCATCGCTTCCATAATATTGGGCAGAACTGCCCGTTTGCCTTGCGATGTAAAATAAATAAACAACAACAACAACAACTAAAAAGACCGTGACAATGCCTGGCTAAAAGGTCGTAAACACATGCCTGCCCATGCAATCTATCCCAGCAGCAAGGTCATACCTCTTAAGCCTGGTTCACACTAGGCCGATTTTCCGGCCGGTGCTCCGACACCGACTCCGACATGGAGTCTGCCGACTGTGTCGACTGAGTCGGACGGCCTGTTCACACACGGGGAACGACTCACTCGCAATAGAGTCGCATCGATTATCCATAAAAGCAAAGTTCATGGGGGTTATGAAATTGTGGTAGGACTTTACATCTCATCAAGACTCAAGAGTACAAAAGTACAAGAGGTCATGAGCTCGACATCGACGCTCTTTGCTGTCATGGTGAAAAGCCTACCGTGATTGGTCCGATGACCGCTCCATCACGTGCAAGCAGTAAAAATCGGCCGGCTTTTCGGCTAAATATCGACCAGTCGATAAAGTTACTTGGCCGAAAACTAGTGCGACAAGAAAATCGCCGCAGATTTGTCGGAACCCTGTACGACAACACAGTTCACACTACGCAATTTTCGCCCCGATCTTGAGGATTTTCGTACGAGTCCATGTCGGCCGGAAAATCGGCCTAGTGTGAACCAGGCATAAGGTTAGCAGATACAAGTGGAATCATGATACAGGTCTGCTCTCGATATAACAACTCTCCCGTGTACATAAACGGCGCTAGTAAGTTACGCAAAAAATCAAATCCCGCGCCGAAACGGCATCACTCCCATACAAATTTTGTTCTACACGACAAAATCCTACATAACACACGATACGGCGCGGTCCCCGGCGTGCGCACTCTCGATACAACGTAAGTTCACGTGTCTGGTACGATCAAGCGGTAGCTGTAGCTAGGCAGTTTAGGCCAGTTTAGTTCTGCATAACGTAAACCTCGGCATAACGCACCCTACGGCGCTGTCCCCGACGTGCGCACTCTCGATACAACGTGCACGGTTGAATCCGCCTTGTAATTCCCTTCATTTTGAGGCACATCTGTGTATTTTACACACGGTTTTCTACATAACTCTCGCTATAACATAATTTTTGCGTGGTCCCAGAGATGACGTTATATGGAGAGTAGACCTGTAATTCGAATATGGCTTAATTCGAACATGCCGCTTAAGTTAATTAGAAGTTTTTCCAGGTCCGATTTCTATCAATACGATTCCCACATAACAATTTCTGGTAATTCGAACCTCGAACTGGACATGTTCGGTTAATTAGAAGTCCCATGGATTCCACTTACATAGAAAATGTGTGCGATTTGTGCTGATAATTCGAAGTTAGCAAAGTGTAATTCGAAGTTCACTGTACACTGTACTGGTCAGTTCAGTTTGCATGAGCAAGCTGTGCCGCTCAGTTCAGTATCCGTGAAATCTGTGCCTAAGGTCCATAGCGCAACTCTGCGTGACCGTGAGAGCATTTTGACATACATATTGTGTTGTGGGTTCATGTTTGGATAATTAGAATGTCCGGATGATTAGAAGTTTTTTCCTGGCATTTTGAGGTTCGAATTATCAGGATTCCTCCCACCTGGAGCTCTCTTTCTTATCACCATGACCACCGCTGCTTCTGCACATCTCACGCCGTACATATTCATTGGTGCAACTGGTACGTGTACTAAGTATGACGTGTGTGAAAAACCGGGTGGAAAGCGACATCCCCGCCGTTGCGCATTCCTGGTCGATACCCAATTACTGTGTGAATATTCAACGGATGGACAGACGGACAGACAGACAGAGACAGACAGATAAACAGGCAGGCAGGCAGGCATAAACAGGTAGGGTGAGAGAGAGAGAGGATTTAATATCATCTAAGTTCCAATACGCATGCACTATACTTTAGATACTAGAGAGATTGCGCAAAACGAAAATTCGTAGCTCCGTAACGAAACTTTTCAACGAAAGAAAAGTTAATGAATATTCGAAAACCGTGTGGTGGCGCACAATGTGTGAACTTTTTCGTAGTAGGTCGACGTGTTGTGCTCGCGGGTATAGTCAAGACAGGGAGTTGTAAAATATCAGTGTTTTAGTACTCCACGTTAAGAAAAATATTCTCGTAGATCTGCTCTGTTTCGGTCGCGTTTGGACGAATTTTCGTAGCAGCTTTCGTTAATCGAACCCGGGCGGTAAAGATCTTACGAAGTTTCGTTGTACGCAACCTCTCTAGTGATCGTAAGCTAACTATGGTACACTCACCGTCCGTTCTAACACTCACCGTCTGTTTTAAGGGAAATGGAAAGAACCTATCAGTAGCCTGATTCGGAGGACGAATAAATCTCTCCACAGTATCTACATGGCCGCCCGTGTCGAAGAAATACCTCAGCCGTAAATCGCCCAATGTTTCCAGGTAAGGAAGCGTGACGTCAACTTGTGAATTTTCCAGAGTCCGTGGCTGTCCGGGAGCCTGCACCGTTGGAAGGAAGAAATCGAACACGCCGGAACCGTCCGCCTGAGTGACCTGAAGCTCCCTGTCATTCAACTCACTAAAAGTACTTGCGGATTGGATAGTACTGTGGCCATTGAATTCATCAATCAGAGTCTGCGCAGAGAGTGCAAAGGATTTCCCGCTGAGAATGCCGAACGCAGCAGTGTAGACAGTTGAAGGACTAAGCTCAGTGTCATCTGCCCCACCTTGAGCTAGCAAATTCACGTCGCGACACTCCTGCTCCAGAGGGCAGTTTGCGCCTGGCCCCGATGTTGTGTCCACTTTGCACTGCGCGGCAGAGGATTCCATGGCAACCAGCTTTACTACGTCTGTCAGGCTGGGCCGGGGTAATGGGTCGGGGATGGAAGCATTTGTAGGATCCGTCCGTGGCACTTGACTCTTGGCACATTGACCAGTAATATCTCTGCACACCTGTAGCAAACAGTAGAGTTGAGAGGTACAGCCAACACCTATGTCAGTGGTTGCTCAGTAGGACCGTGATGTAGTGCTGCAATAACTGCCAGGCATATTTTTTTCTCCCAGTCATCGTGTTAGGTACAATATCCCCGCCTAGTCTAGAGTTGGTGGTGACAGTTGGATCTCTTCAGACTTTTTCCCTTTCATTCTCACAATCTGATTATTAAAACTTGGATGGTGAGCCAATATGATCAGTAAAGAGAAAGATCTCGTTACCTACATGTAGGTGCACTGTTAGTCATAACTCGCAACGTATTGGAACTTTCTCTTTACAATCTGATCAATTCTCCTAGTACTAGTGTATTTACAGACCGAAATAATTATGTTGGTGAAGAGTACTTGAACAGAAGACAAAAGTGCCCGGTAGGCCTTGACAGATTATGCTAGCATAATTTTTCGCATAATTCCTACCAAAATCGAATAATCGCATTATTCGAGGCAAATTGCATACGAATCGCATAAAATTGGACTAATCCACCTGTTCGCATCAAATTCCATACAGTTGTACATGTTCTACAAGTACAAGTACAAGTAGACACACCAGGAAGGCGTAGGTTTACGACTCCCTTGATAACATGTCCAGTCCACTACAATCAGTGACCAGGGTGACGGTCATAGCTAGGTCGGACGGTGAGTTGACCCCGTTGAACTTTTGCTACTACAGTACAACGCCCTCTACAAAAAAATTCACCTGTTATTTTGCACAGAACCATCATATACATCAGCAGCATATGTAAGCATAATGCCGCATAATATGATAACTTTTCGCATAATAATAGCATAATTCTGCAATTTTTTCAGCAATGCGAAAAGCATAATTTCACGAAAATATTAGCATAATCTGTCAAGGCCTAGTGCCCGGCTAAATGCTCATACTGACCAACCACCAAAATCTAAATCCCTAGACAAGACATGCAGAATCCCTGGATTTCTCTCAAAATCCCTGGATGGCACAACAACTAGTGAAAAAATAGCTTTTCCCGCCAAAAAAAACGTTCGACTCTGCAGATCTGCGTACAGCACAGTTCGACCCTTCTTGTGCAGTTAGATCAGTCGGCGCCCGCCTGTCACATTGTCAGTGCAGATCTTGCAGGCTACGCCGCAGTGGTCCATATGCAAAAAACCTGTCAGGGGTGGATGCAAATTTGCGAGCTCCTGAACTTTACTCCTTTTTTCGGTTTCCCGGGGCACTAGGCCCTTGGAACACCAGTAAAATTAGTGATATAATGGCCGGGAAACTCGACCCCAATACGGACATCGCCGTGCTTACTGACGACGAGCTCAAGGAGCTCATCCAGCGACTGGGACTGGAGTTCCCCAGAAAGGCGAACAGGCCAATGCTGATTGCCCTACTGAGAGGATCCAAGGACTCGGCTCCCGTAAGTCATGCTAACCCTGATGTAGCTAGCCTTTGCGCCGCACTCTCCGAACTTACTGGGGTAGTAAGGGAACTGAAATCAGAGCTAAAGACGATGAAAGACGTGAATGTACAGCTGAGAGATTCCGAGAGAGAAATTCAGGCGTTGAAGGACGACGTGCAAAAGCTCCGCCGTGAACTGCATGCTGAACAAGATCACCAATTCCGTTTGACCCACGTCCACGCTGACCCTGGGGCCGGGGATACAACTCATCTCAGAACTAGTACTAGTAGTACCCTCCCTATGCACTTTAGTACGAGTACCGACGCTACCCCAGACCTGTCACTCACATCACCACGTGCACCTGTACAAACACGAGGCCCAGCTGCACAGCACATTGCAGAAAAATCGTAAGCAGACTCCGCAAGGCAGCCACCAAGGCCGCATGCACCTGGCCACGACAAACGTACGCAAAAGCCAAATCACCGTAGAGAGGAGACATCGCGGTACACAGCACCGAAAACACCCAAGAGTGCACCTGGACTCGTAGGACGACCCCGCGTGACGGTGTACTACATTGGAAATGTTGACCCGGACTGCGATGCGGATTCAATAGCTGAACACTGCAAGGCACAAGGCGTATCTGTAGTACAAAGCGTCGTGTACACCTCCGTCCACTTTAGAACAGCCTCTGCTCGTATTACAGTCTTGGTCACGGACGCCAAGAAGGTCGCGGAAGAATCGTTCTGGCCTGATGAAGTTGGCCGTACTGTAAGAGAGTGGCGATTTGGTACAGAGGCCTGGGCTCTCAAACCCGTTAAAGCATAATGGCTCAAACCACTGACCCACTTCCCTTGAACCCGCATGCTCCAGCCTTTACACCATCGTCTCCTCTTCAACCGTCGGCCCCCGTAAGCTGTTCATATACCCACATAAAGGTTGGCCACATAAATATTTGCAGCCTTAGACACAAAACACACATTATTGCTAAGTTAATAGACCAACATGCCCTGGATCTTCTGGCAGTTACTGAAACGTGGCTTGACTCCAGCATCTCGGACAACGAGGTCTCGGTGCCGGGAACAATTCTTTTCCGTCGTGATCGGCCGTGTGCTGAGGGCTGCCCGTGCTTGTCCTCCTGCAGCCCCTGCAGGAAAGGAGGGGGAATTTGCATGTACGTGAACGACCAAGTTAATGTGACTCCTGTCTTGACCCACTCGCATGCCAGTCTAGAATTGATGTGGCTCAGAACCGGCACAGTCAATGATGGTGTTTTGTTCGGTTGCATATATCGGCCCCCATCCGAGCCAGTGGAGTACTGGACTCGGCTTGCCACAGCCACAGAACAACTGGACAGCGAAAATGTTGTATTATTAGGCGACGTCAATGTAGACTTCCTGCATCAGGCATCCAGCGTTTTCCAACACCTTAAGAACACACTTTTACTCCCGTGCGGGATGGCCAATAAAGTCCAGGACGCAACCAGAATCACTGCCTCGACACGCACGTCGATTGACTGCATACTGACGAACATAGACCTCGTCACGTCAGCATCCGTTAAAGACTGTGAGTTCTCAGACCATCGCCTGGTCCTCAGTACTGTCCCATTGCCCACAGCGGGCACACGGAACTCCGACACCGATGGTCAGCAACCAAGCAGACAACGAAGAGACTACCGAGGCTTCGACGCAGACCGCTTCTGCGGTATGTTGTTGTCTTCCAATCTTCATCACTTTGCAACCACTGACCCTGACCTGATGTTAGACGAATGGGCCGAGAAATTTAATGCTGCACTTGATATTGCAGCGCCTTATGTGCCCAGGAAGCGACCGAAGCGGAATCGGAAGACTTGCCCTTTCATGACCAAGGCTCTTCTTGACTTGATCAGGGAACGCAAATCAGCCTTCAAGAAGTTAAAAGCAGCCAACTTTCGTGACATGGTCATAATGGCGCAGTTCAAGAGATTACGTAGTCAGTCCAACAACTTGTACCGTCATCTTCAGAATCGTTACTTCGCGGATCGGTGCAGGACGTATGAACGGGAACCTCGACAGTTCTGGAAAATATTGAACACGATCACCAAGCGTACGCCACAGAGGCAAACAGTTACTATCCCAGCTGAGAGACTAAACGATTACTTCCACGCTATTGTCACCGATAATCATGCCACCTATGATCTGCCAATGGGTCCGGCTAACTCTACGGACCTCAGGACGTTCGAGGCGGTAACTGTCTCAGAAGTGAAAAGGCTAATCAGTGCCCTCCAGAGCCGCAAAGCTCCTGGCCCGGACGGAATTATGCCTTTTTTGCTAAAGGTATCGAAAGACGTAGTCGCCCTTTCACTTACCATTTTGTACAACACTTCCCTCTCTTCTGGACACTTTCCATCCCGGTTCAAAATTGCCCACATCACCCCGATATTGAAGTCAAAACAAGGCCCCCGTAATTGCCCTTCCAATCACCGCCCGGTGTCTCTAACATCCATTCTCGCCAAACTCCTTGAGCAGCTCGTGTTCTCTCGTCTCCAGGTGTTTTTCCAAGAACGTTGCCCGTTCCATGAAGATCAATTTGGTTTCCGGAAGCACCGGTCGACCGAGCAACTCCTCACGAAGGTAACGAATGATTGGCTGCTAGCCCGCGAAGCGGGTCTGCATACAGCTGTTGTTTGCGTTGACCTGAAGAAGGCGTTTGATACCGTGCAACACCAGCAACTTCTCATCGCAATCGCGGCCGTGGGTATTTCTGGCATAGCCCTGGCTTGGTTGCAGTCATACCTCCGTGGACGGCAGCAGCGCGTGGTTACCTACATCGGAACGTCTCCTCTGGTACCAGTTACTAGTGGCGTACCTCAAGGCACCATTCTGGGCCCTGTGCTCTTCAATTTATATGTGCGGAAGCTGCCGCTCACAGCTGATGCTCTTTCCTGCAAGCTGCCGATGTTCGCGGATGACATGACGCTGTATGCCAGTAGAAGGTCGCCAAATGAAGCTGTCGGTGCCGTCAACAAGGTACTTTCAGTGCTTGCTCTAGATCTTGCGGACCTAGGGTTGTCAGTCAACTCTGCCAAAACTGTCGCCATGTTCATTTCCAAACTCCCCCTGCACCTGTCTGTTCCTGTGATACTCAACGATCAGGTATTGACCCGCGTTACCAGCACCCGAATCCTGGGGGTCATCATTGATGACCGCCTAACGTGGTCGCCTCACATTGATTTTGTAATTCGCAAGACATGTGCAAAGGTTGGCGCTCTTCGTCGGTCCTTTCGGCAATTGAGCAGGAAGGCCAGGAGGCATTTTATTGTATCAGTCATTCTACCTGATCTTTTGTACTGTTGTTCGTGTTTTGTAACGAAGCTGTCCGCTAAGGACCGCCAAAGGCTCTCTACTGTGTTCCGCCGTGCTGTACGAGCTGCCTGTGGTGCTAAGTCACAGGACGACATCACGCCATTATTGACCACATTGGCGATTTATCCATTTGAACACTATATGATTCTCAACTTTGCCCAGTTTATTCATAGAAATCATGTCATCATCTCACTTCCTACCCTAACGGAATTATTTCCACCGATCACAACAAGCCTTAGAACTA